GCACACTGCTGAAGAAACATCCCTGCAAACCTCCACCCTCCGCTCCAAAGTGCTCTGATGAGGGACGGTGATTAGCCTGCGCTCATTAAATGTAAACAAACAGCCGGCAGTGAGCGCAGCCGAATCAAAACAACATTCCGCTCGGTGACAGGGAGAGGCGGGAAGGGCGATGAGGTGTGGCGAGGACAGTGTGCCGTGTTGTGTGCCTACGTGCCATTCAGCCACTCACAATGCTCTCGGTCTGTTAGTACCAGCAGCCAGACATGCTGTGTTTTGTCATTACCCCACTTGCGTCCCTGCCCAGGGTTGCAGTCACACATTAGATGATGAAAGATTGTCTGTGTGATTAGCAGACACTTCCTGATTACTTGATTACACTGAGGACGCTGACTAACAGCTCATGGGTGAATCTGTCTTGTTTAGTCTGATGCCACTGAGGCTATTATCTAAAGCCAAGTTAGAATAAAACACATGTATTCCAGTATTTCTCTTCTGTATGCTACATCATTTTTGGTGTCAGGTCAGTGGAATAAATATCTGGTGGATTGTTAGACTGACCAAGCCAAATTTCAAATTCACTTCATAGTTTAGCCTGAAACTCGACGCTGTTGTCTTCTCACTGCGTTCCTGCTAACCCGAAACCCCTGCCCGAGTCAACCCCCTGCTAGAGGCCCCCATTAAAACCCAGTTCTCTCTTCAGCCTGAGAACAGGGGATGGAAGAGATGAGCTCACGTCTCTGATCCTGAACTGGTCTGCTCTGCCGTCTACCTAATGGTCTCCAGGATGTCAACACTGGTGTGTCCCTCTTATTCACACCAATGATCATCTTCACAGAGGCCCCAGACCTAAATAAACACAGAGCAAACTTGCTATACGATCAGCTTGTATCTATAAACAGTGGAGCGGTTTAAATTAGGCCGCTCCCAAGAGTACCGTACTTTGCTTGGACAGCCAGGCTGAGATGACAGAATGGAGCCAGATGAACTCACTGAAGGGAGTTTCAAAGGACTATTTCACACAACGGCAGAAATAGCACAGATGCGACTTCTATACCGTCC